CTTGTTGCGCCTATCTATTGGTCTCGTGCCAGCCGCTGAAAACCCTCAAGGTTTCGCGTTTAGGCTTTCGTGCTTTCTCCGCCACTGGGTCGGCGGACTGAGCCGGAGGCTCTTAAGTTTGGATTATGACTAGGAAGCCCAAGAAGTTAGAGTCACAAGGGCAAGGCCAAAGGCAGCCAAGGATCCATCAGTAAAGGCGGCGTGGACTACCTTTGTAGTACAGCACTCTTGCCGGCTAGGCTTCCACAAGAAGTGGTGGAAACGACCCAGGCCCTCCTTGCGTGGGCACAGTGGCTCATCCTCCCAAGACAGGATGTCGGCATGCAGCGTTTGCTCGTTAGATCCAGCAGGCACCATAGTCCAACCAAGCTCCGTAATCCAGGGCTGCTGACGATCCCGCGTCCGTGGCCACAACAACTCCTCCACCTCCTCTATGTTGCTGTTAAGGAACTTAATTTAAGTCACTATATTGGGGAAACCATATTAATTACTATGTATACCCATTGTGGTAACTCAATTTAAGTTCCTTAACAGCAACCCAGTCCTTTGGCGGCCGGGGGGCAGGCCCGCCCTTGATCGCCGAGGGTACGATCGAGATGTAAAACCGTGGCCCGGTCCAATTGTCCTCGTCATCCTGGGTTGCTGTTAAGGAACTTGAATTAAGTTACTATAATTGACTATAATGGGTATACATAGCAATTAATATGGTTTCCCCAATATGGTAACTTAAATTCAGCTCCTTAAAAACAACCCAGCATCTGCAGATGGATGCACCGCCGAAACGTAGAGGCCTTCGTCCTCCAGCTTCTGCGTGACTTGCGAAGCCGCTGCGGTTCCTGGCCTCTCTTCTCCGTCTTCTGTCCAGCTTCCACGGGTCTCTTCAAGTAAGGAGGCCACACGTGACTGGAACTGCCAGTAGTACTGCTCCTTGGCCAACAATGCCAACACGCGACGCGGAGGGATGGCAGAAAATCACCGTTCCTATCCCGACTCCTTGTGTTCCTTGCGTTGCCTACCCCTCACTGGCTTCACCAAGCATGGTTTGCAGAGATTAGATATGCAGTCACGCAAGGAACGTGTTCACAATACGTAGCAAGACTCATCACCTACTGAAGGCTTCTCGAATTGAGACACCCGAGTCAGGAGCACCCAACATGTGGAGCAAAATTTCTTTTAAAAGTATTCCACTTAGAAATACTAACAGCTGAGAAAAAATCTTGCTACATAGATTTTTTCCCAGGCATCAACCAATGAGCAAACCTCCCACGAGGGGCGTCGGGACAATTCCAGGCAACCATCCTGCAGCAGTGTAGCTGACTTGGAGGGATGTAGCGCAGGTATAGCCATGCTCACGGGACTTAGAGTTGTAATCAGTTGTGCTTGGGTTGCATTTTGCCTGGGCCTACAAGTACTTGTGGTTGGTAAGTTAGCAGAGAATGAAACAATGGGACAGAAAATTAGAGTGCTGCACGAGCTAGGGTCTATTGTTTGGGATTTTGTGGTGGTTGGCTAGAGTTTAACGAATGGTTGTTCGGACTCTCTCAAGCAACAAGCGTTGACTACTATATGGACCGCTTCCTCCTCTCCCTGCAAGACACCCGAAGCTAAGGCAGTGCTTACGGTCACAGTTAGGCTACAGCTAGAACTTCTTGTGCTATTGCTGAAACTGTTGTTTTTTGGGTCGTGACGTGGCAGTGCTGGCCATCATGGCCTTCACAATTCTGCTGCCACTGCTTCCTTCATCCGCTTCCTACTAGTATTACCACTACTCCTGCTTCTACTGCTTCTGCTACTACTGCTACCACCACCAACACCACGACGACTATCGCTACTTCTTCTTTTGCTCCTACTTCTGCTCCTCTGTTGCTATTGCTACTGCATTCCCCCTCATGCAAATTTATTGGTTGCATTTGTCCTCGTGCAACTTGCGTCTGTCTTCCGCCGATATGGCGCCATCGCTCATGTCATGTATCCTTACTGCACGTGTTTTTGTCTGCTCCAAATTCTATGGGTGCAATAACAAGATGTGGCTGTGGATGCAGGGTACTGGAGTCTACCTTTGAATTAGGCAGCCCTTCACGTCCTACACCACACCTCGAAGTACATGGTAACCGCGGTAGCTAAGGACATTTGCTTTTTTGTGGTTCTTGCTTGGCGCGGGCTAACGCAGGCTCCGGGGACTCTGAGCCCCTGTCACAGCGCAAGGGAGCTTCAGGCACATGGCAGAACAATGATGCGAGAACTTGGGGGATTGGGGAAGTCTAGCTGTGGCAAGAAAGACCCGAAACCATCGTCATGCGCAGCAATGTCAAAGCAAGTTACATGTGATGCTTACTCAAGATTTGGCTTTTGATGTCTAGCACATTACTTAACTGTATCTGTGTGTCCAGGGCCCCAATTGTTATGCCAGGTGTCGTGCCCTTCCCTGGCCGGTACCTAGAAGGGCGCGGGTTGCCCCTGGCTACTGCTACTACTGCTCCTCTTGGAGGGATTGCGGTCTGCAGGTCGCAAACACCAAGGTGTGATTAGATGATTCACAGTCTTTATCACAAGGGGGGGTTGCAAGAATCCGGGGTCCCTTTTGGGAGATCTCCATGACAAAAGTTATAGTAGATTAGGATCGACGGTGCGGTTTGACTTGGTGACCGTCAGCATCATCAAGATACTGAATCCCATACGCGGAACAATGCTTCATCCTCATAGTTCAAAGCATGACACAGGGCAGGCCAGAGTGAAGCAGCAGGCAAGGACTGCAACTTGTTGAAGTTCTAGTTTGAGATGGTTTTCACATGCATGCATGAGAAATGTCTTGAATCAGAACTCTGTGTCTGCAACTTTTTGGAGTTCACCATTTCCTGCCCAGCGTTTTGACTCCACATTTCCACGAGGGATGGCATCGATACCAATAAGAGGACCTGCCGCGGCCACAGATCAGCAGGCAGGGTCAAGGATTTATTGCTTTCCTAGAATGAGGGGTACCATTGTGGGGGCCCAATAATAAAGGCATAGTATCTTGGGGTCTATGTTGGGCTCCCCTATGTTGAGAAGCTACCATTTGGGGGCCCAGGGTTGAGACCGAGCGGCGGAAGTTTCCGAGACTAGGGGATCCCTTTTGGGGAGCCTAAACCCTCAAGCCCCAAGCCCTGGATCAGGTCGCAGTTCAGGAACCTAAATTAAGTCACTATAATGAGAAAATCCAGCCCCTAATATACCCACTATAAGCCCTATCATTCCAGCTTCCATGCAATTTTCCATTTTCTTTTCCATTTGATTCTCCATTCTCACCCTAATATTACCCCAATGGGTACAAACCCTAAACCCTAAGCCCTAAACCCATTCATTCTCCCTATATATAGTAATTAAAAGGGTTTCGCCAATATAGATGCCCCCTTATAATATATTAGTTTCCATTTTCTTTTCCATCATCACGAAATAACCCGAAATATTATACCCCCATATAGTTCACATGCCGGCCCTGCAGCCCCTAATCCCTAGACCCTAATCCCTAAGCCCTAATCCCTAAACCCCAATCCCTAAACCCCAATCCCTAAACCCTAAGCCCTAAACCCTAAACCCTTAACACTAAACCAT